TACTGTATTATGTTAGTGCTAATATATGGATAGAATACTCGCTATTATTAATACATCACCCCATAATCCACTCGATCAAGTACGAATCTCAATATAAATTTTTCTTTGAAAATTTATGGGATCAAATTTAGGATCTTGAAATATTCAATTTCAACAAAGCTATAGTCGAATTGAAGGTTTCGACGAGATGAACCCATCTACAGCAAAGATGATCAGATCTAACTGTAAAAGAGCCTAAATCAAATAGTTGAAGTATGATTGTAAACTTTGGGATATTAATTGAATGACCAAATGATTTTGAAATTTTGCATGCTTATAGTTAATCAAATATCTCAGTGAGATGAATTCAACGAGCCCAGGATCATAAAAATTTAATAATATTGAGATATATTTATATTGAATGTCACTTCAAAATCTATAAATAACTATTCGTTCTCTATACGAAGGTGGAGGGGGAACTCAAAACTTTACTTGAAATTGGTGAGAGATCCAACATCGGACTATCATCATCAACTACTATAGTCAAACAGCTGATATTGGATGATTGTTGTCCAATAATGTCGTTCGATCACAATCGTCCAATCATGATAGCCTGACCATCGTCGTCAAGTCACCAATGCAAACCATCGTTGTCAGTCTGTTGTTGTTCAACTCTCAATATTTGAGCATCATCATTAAACCTCTACCCTCCAAACACATTATGTCCTTCAACCACAATTACATGACTTTAGCCTGCTAACCATAATCTCCCTACTATAGTCCCCACATCATCATTACTCAAATATGTTCCTTTGACCACCTTTGCTCCCTCTGATCATCTTTATCTGGCTACGATCATCCTACTATCTTCACCCAACGATGATTCATTGACCGCGTTCTATGACTTCAATCCTTCAATCATCGTTGTCTGATCCCAATCCATCAACTCATTTTGACACCCCTAAAAATAATAATAATATTCAACTACTATTTTAGAATAAAATAATTAAATAAAATTGAAACTCTAATTAATTTTCATTTACTTCTAATTAATTTGTTTATTACAATAAAATGCTTTGATACATATGCAATTAAACTAATTAATAAAAATTATTTTTTTTCAAATTAATATCATGAATCATAGTAT